CCGGCGGCGTCTTCCAAGCCAGATCATGCTGCGCGCACCTTGACTCTTGTCGTCTCTTTAGTCAACATATCACATTCCTGGGCTTGCCTAATTGTTCTGGCCCAACTCCAAATTCGTTGTGACAGGACCAACGCATCAAAAGGTTTCTTTTGAAATATTGACTCATTCCTCTACTTTCGTAGATACCACGCTGCCACTCCCACCAGCAAGCCGGTATCGTCCATGCACAACCTCTGTTTCAACCAATCTGTAAGAGGGAGAGCCACTATTAATTGGGTATCCATCAAACCAAGAGCTTTCCATACTTGAGTAGCCCGGGAGCATCGTCGTATCACGTGATCCGCCATCTCAGGCCCCGAGTTACAGAAGCAGCAGTAGTCTTCAGTGGTGATATTCCTTCGTTTTCGCTCCACATTGGTCAATAATCTGTCATGCGCCGCCAACCATAAGAAATGTTTGATCCCGTTGGGGGCATTCCATTTCCATAAGTCTTCGAAAGATGGATGGAACGGGCAGACCAGTTTGGAAAGACTTATGGAAATCTTTTCAAGACCTTGGTTGAGATATTTCTGCAAGGATTGTTAGTCTAAAATAATAACACATATTCAAGGCAGCATATCCTAAGATAATAAAATTGCTAAGTCAAGCTTTTTGACTCAACATGGAAGATGACATTTATGGGGAGCTGTGTGTCGAGTTTTTCAGTACCTTCACCATTTCTAAGACCAAGAGCCTGTTCGAAAATCGGACGGGCAAGATGAAATTCCACTTGGAGGAGAATGTCGCACCTTGACTTTTGATGGGTTAGTCCGAGCATGGGAGTTGAAGCTGCATCTGGAGCAGCCACCTGCTCGAGCTCCCGGCATCCTGCACTCCAACATGCTGCACCCTCACCACCATCAAGATCATTATCATCAGGAGCCGTTCCTTCCACCCCCGGGGTGCACCTTGTGGAGAGGATGGATCGCCTTGAGACCCACGTAGTGGGAGTCACTTCCCGGCTCAACTGACACACCGACCTGCTTGAGTGGATAGCTCGTCGCCAAGGCCTTCTCCAAGATGATGAGTCAGGACCTTCGACCCGTGATGAGGTAGCCGATAAGTGAGACATGTGGCAGAGCCAATTCCTTTCACACAACTTCTCCACTTGGAACTCTGAACTCTTTTATCTTTTATTTTGTTTTTTCTTTCTTTTTTTCGGTGTGTGAACAACTACTATTACTATCTTATTGTTGTATGTAATAACCTCTCCTCGAGCGAGTATGTGTTTGTGTTTGTTTTTTTTTTCTCCTTGAAGCTCCAATCTCCTACCCCGGAAAAAATTCCAACTATCACTCGCCAAGCCATGCGGCAACATTGTTCTACCCCTATCTTACGTCATTGAGGGCAATGTCGAGCTTAAGTGTGTGTGGGGGGTAGTTTATTATTATGCTTGTGTGAGTGTGATTGGATGCTTTGAGCCTTGATGTATGCCTAAATTTGAAAAATTTGAGGGCTCCAAGCAATGCTTGCATGATCAAAGTGGCCTGTTTGTGGGAGAATCTTGTGTTTATTGGCATTAACCGTGAATTGTTGCATGTGATCGAGTGCGTCCTATTATGATGACTGAGAGGTGCATTAGGATAGTGCAAAGGTTTAGTTCTCATGTGTGCAAAAATGAATGGATGTCTTGACTCGATTACTTGTTAATTACAATTGCCATGCATTGTGTTTTGTGAAGGGTAATAATAGATGGTTGGGTGACTAGGTAGCCATGTGAGTTTTGAGCCGATCATTTTCGTCTTGTGTGCTTAGATCCCTCTTACCAAGGCAAGTAACATCACAGTTGTCACTAGTGAGTATGATGGAGGCATATGATTAGTCTATGCCCAAATGATGATTGTCCTGAAATGTTTTATCCCCTAGTCAACCCCTTTAAGCCTTGTGACTTGGGGGGGGGGGGGGCGTTCTCTTGTAGGAGCTTATCGCTTGTGAGCTTAATGGTGTTTGATAGAACGACCCCCCTCATCCTTTCTTCGTGTATATATGTGAGTCGTCCTTGTGTCCCGGAGCTCCATTGAGGTTCTACATAGGAGGATTTGGTGTGGTTCTTGCTAGGAATGAAAGAGAAAAGAGTAGTATTGGAGTAAGTTCTTAAAAGAGAGCATTGGTTGTTAAATAATGTGACAAGTGTTTTACTCTCTAGTACCCCCCCTCAAAAGAAAAGAAAAGAGAAAAAGAAAGAAAATGAATCGAAAATGAGGTAAGAAAATGAGGTAAAATAAAGTAGAGAGTGCCACAAAAAATCAAAGTGTATGCTCTAGGAGGGGTTTCTTGGCACTCAATCCATTGAAACACCCACATTGTTGTTGAATTCCTTCACTATTATGTATGAAATGTGATAACAAGAGTAGGCCGAGGAAGTGTGCTTGAATGTGGTTCATGATGGGTGATAGTTTGGAAGGGAGAAGTAAGGTTTTTGGCCGGTGATAGTGGCCATCGTTTGTAGGGAAGGTTCTTAGTCGAAACCATGGAACCTTTGGATTTAGGGTGAAGATGTAGGACCTCATGTTGTGTTGCCACCACCCAAAAGGCCTTTTACCCATGTCCAAGACAATTGCCAGTCATTTGAACCCGTGTCTAAGACATCCGGACAAGCTAGTGATGACAACCATCCCGTCAAATCTAGGGCCGAGTGTTGATGATTGTGCATATTTTTTCACCAAATGGTCCCGGCCCACCGGTCAAGAGAGTGAGAGATTCATTCTTGCTTTGCATGTCATATCATACCCCGGTGAGTACCTTTGTTGCCCATCGTTCATTCCTTGGACTTGAATTTCATGCATGGTTAGTTGTGGTTGAAGAGTGATCGTGTTGAGACTTGCATTGATTCATGAACAAGGTGAGAACTTTTTGTTCGCCCGTTTTTGGTGGTCTCGAATGTCATTTGTGGTGGATGCCGGTATTGCTTGCAACGGCCCATGTGTTAATTGTCAATAGCCATTGAGATTCCCCACTTTGTGCCCTTTGAGTTGTCCCCCAGGTCTTTTGTTAGGTTGAGATATTACCTTGTGTGAAATGGTTTTCTTGGGGACAAGCAAACATATAAGTGTCGGAGAGTGACTCGGGCCTAAATGTACTTTTTGTATCCCCATTTATCATTGGCGTTTGTGGCATTTGAGATCATAAAGGGTGGTTTTACGCTAGATTTGCTGTGTTTCAATGTGTTTCAGAGTCTAACAGGTGGAACCAACCTCTGAGTCGAAAGTTGGAAGAAATGGCGCGAGGACCGGGCAAAAAGGAGGAAATAGCCGTTGTTCAAGGTCCAAGCTGTGAGTTCACAGTCGTCAGGACTGTGACTTGGAGCCACAAACCGCAAACTGAAGGGTGTCCAGAGAGGTTTCGGAAGTTACTGGTGTCGAGTCAGTTCAAGGTCGTAAGACCGTGAACTGAAGCCATAAACCGCAAACTCAACAAATGATAGCGGTGCATTTTGGTTGTGTTCACGGCCGTGAATTGGGATCACGAACTGGGCTCGATCAGTGTATCAAAGAAGAGTTGAAAGGAAGAAGTGGTGGAGCCTAAAGTGAGAGCAACTTTCTTCTTCTTGAAACCCTAGAGAGAGAAATTCACAAACCAAGAGGGAGAAGAGGCTAGGGTTTGCTCAAAGTCAAGAATTGGGAAGTTCCTCTTCAAGGGAGGATCTCTACAAGCACAAGGAAGGGTTGAGGCATCACAATCATGGTTTTTTCGTTTTTCCTTTGTGTTCTTCCTCCTTCTAGCATGGAGTAGTCTTCTATTCACTTTGGTGTTGTAGTTACCTAACTTTTACCATATAGTTGATTGTGTGGATTGAATGATTGTGTGTGGGTGATGTTTAATTTAAAATTTAAGGTATTGTTCATGATAATTGTGCATTTTTTGTGCTTGGCAATCTATTGTGCTACTCTAACCTAGCTTAGAGGGAAACCCCCTTTCCTTAGGAGGCTCAATTTGAGTAGGGTTTTCTTAGGAATTCCATGCCTCCTAACTAGGTTAATGTAAGGCAAACCTCTAAACTCAAATTAGACACCTAGGTTAATTGTGATTAAGCCGTCCAAACCCCGGTTTGAGGGAGAAGGTAAGTCAACCCTCTTTTGCTTGGGCCAATAGGGCTACTTTCGTAGCCTACATTGCATTCCTTGGCCTAGTGATTGAGAGTGTGGTTTCCAACCACTGTTGCTCCTCCTAACGGTTCGCAATCTCCATGTCGCACACTAATTCATTCGATCCCACAGTTCATGGTAGTTAGTTAGGGGGAACCAACTTTCGAGTGAAACTTCTCACCAAGAGTTTCAACCCTTTTACTTTTGAAGTCTTTCACTTTCAATCATAGATTGTAGAGATTGTTACAAACTTCATTATGCTAGATAATATTTCAAACAATTGAAGTAGGGGTACATGGACCGGCCCGAGTTTATATTTAAACATCCTTGCCCTATATTGCACCCATTTAAGGTTTATACTTGGGCCTTAGGTGGGATTTAAGTGTGATATTCGGAGCTAGTCAGTCATGTCTGCCGACCCCCTCCTAGCCATGTCCACTGACCCTGTCACCACAACCGGATTTCCTAAGTAGGGCTGATGATTTACCTCCTCTAAATGGGTTTAACTCGTCCACACACAAGCTCTACAAATCAATGGTCATGCACTCGTGTTGCAAACATTATCTAGGTGAGGTCCTTGTTGGTAGGGATGGTGATGACACATGAAAGTATATATTCTAAACCCCCGTATTGTGACCCAAAGTGCATACATTTGTCATCATTATTGTTATTATACCTTGACTTTATGCTATGATGGCTTCAAGTGTGTTCTAGCTACCGTAGGATTGCTTTTATACGATTGTTATGCTATTGATAGCATTTTGTGCAAGTTCAAGTCAAAGCATGGTAGTGGACCACATGATAGCTGAAGGGGATTATCGTAAGATGAAAGAGGATAAGAATACGAGGATCCAAGATTAAACAGGGCCCAATTTTAAGATCTATTCATTTTCATTATATAAGAGTGGTTTTATCTTATGTATCTTCACACTTCGGGCGTTGTCCCTATCTTCCCAATATTTTTTTTCATTTGTCTTCATTTGGTCAAATTGTAGTGCTTTTATTTTACTTTGATAATGTTACAATACTATTATCAATTTCTTCATTCATAAACATCTAAAAGAAAGAATTTCTTTAGTTCATAAATGAAAAGAAAAATACAAAATTTTTCAGAGAATGGCAACCTTCATCTCCAACAAAGAGCGTAAAGCTCTTAAGGAAAAGAGAAAAGAGAATCAATTTAACAAAGACTAGGATACAACTGGTTCTTGGTAGCCCAATTAATTTACAGATGTTAAAAGAAAGAACATAAATTAATGAGTACAAGCTTGAGTCCATCATAAATTATATGAAACAATATATATCCCAACTTATTTATGTGATTTCAAGCCTTTTGGTCTTTATGATCGTCAATCTAAATTTCATAAATAAACTGCGTCCGGTAGTTTTCACATCTTATTAAAATAGTACTAGTAGTAAATCTGTTCTCATATACAAACTCTTGCGTCTTGAAGAAATTGTCGCAAACTGAACAATCCTGGCACTCAAAAAATACAATATGCCACATAAGTGAGTAATTAAGTGAGTAAGAATTAATCATCGTAATTGGCCGACACAAATCAGAATTACATATAAATGTTATTACACTTAATAAAGCAAAAAACTTCAATATGCAGATCAATGATTCACATGCGAAACTCAATCTATTGATGTATCCACACATTCAATGTTCGAAATAATCTTATCACTATGTAAATCTTCACAATAGTAAATTTTGAAATAGAACCTATGTTTTAGGAAAAGAATAGAAGAGATGCATATATCATCACTACACGAAAACAAGGATGGAATTGGCAAGAGAAAAATTAAGCACGCAACAGAAGCAGCTCACCTTATACACATCCGCAACCATTGATCCACTCCCAGGAATGACCAGATCCATTTCAGAGAGAATTGGTCGAGAAAACAGAGACTCGCAAATGTGCATATGTGTGACATACGAGACACTCCGGTTAAAACAAAATATACTGAAAAGAACGAAACAGGTAAAGTGATGAGAAGCCACAAGGATGTTATTTTATAAGCACTGCTGTGGCAAATTGGAAGATTGAAATGGTGAAAAGAATGAAGAAGGAAACAAGAGTCACGACAAAAAACATGGTGGCTATGAATAGAGGAAGAGGAAATTCGAGGGAGGAAAGAAAATGAAAGCCAGAGAGAAGGCAGGAAGGGAGATATGAGAGCTAATTAGGAACCATCTGAAACAAAAAAATGAATTACTATATATAATTCCATTTCTAGTTGAACTCTTCCGTGTATAATGTTTCATAAGTGAATAAAATAGAATTTCACAATTATATTCGAAAACACACTTGAAGTTAAATTCATTTAATAATCATCATTTAGTAAGCAATTTTCAAAATTTTCAATTTATTCAATACGTAATTGTTTGATACAAATTAACAAACATTTCTCTGAAAATATTTTACTTTCATACCTCTTTACTATTGAGAAGTAACAAATGTTTCCTACAAGTGTTTTCATCAATTGTTTGTGAAAGTGTATGCAAAATAACCATATTTTTCCTCTTCTGCTCGGTTATTATATAATTACATTATCCAATAAAGGAGAGCTTCTCGAAAAAAAAAAATCCAGAAATAACACTATTTTAAAAAAAATTACAAAAATAGCATCCAACCCAAACAAATTCAAAAAATAGCCCCATTTTTCAAAAACCGCAAGCCGAATGAGCGGTTTATAAGGAAACAGCTTGGGGAGGTGACGGTTTCCGCTAAGCCAGCCAGAGAACCGCATAAGAAAGCAACGATTTTTGGAACCGTCGGATCAGGGAGCGATCCAACGGCGGACCGCCGCCAACTCATCGATCCGCGTCAGGAATTGTAAACCGCATGTCAAGGGTGCGGTTTCTTTCCACGGAAAATGCAAACCGTTTACGAGGGGAGCGATTTTCGTTTGGCAAAAATTACAAAACCGTCCCTGGAGGGGGTGTTCCGAATCCTATATAAACCCCCTCCCCCTCTCCATTTTTCCACACCAAAAACCATTCTTCTCTCTCTCTCTCTCTCTAAAATTATCTCTCTATCCATCCCCTCTCCCCCCAAAAACCTAGGAAACAGTGGTCTGTTGGTTGCGGCTAAGTCCTATCTGCCATCAGAAAATATTTCTTTGGTTTTTCCTTCAAAACCCGTCGAATCTCTGTCCGACTTATTGAAAAAATGTATGATTGGTGCCAAGACGAGGGTATTTTCCATGATGACTATCAAACGGTAGGTACTCATTTTACCAAATTTTTGCTGTTGTTATAATTTTTTTTATTAATATATATACTAACTAATTAACCTTGTTGTCATTCTCCGGTAGGTTGGGGACGATGTGGATATATACGACCAACGATATTATTTTGATCAAAGACTGAGTGATCCAACCATGTTGATTATTTTCAATGGTTTGGGATAATACAATGCGCCACTTACTTAAACTCTTTATAAAGAGATGCATGCCTAAGGAAATGGGGTCTTAAGCGATTATCATGATCATCCCATTTCCCGGGAAAATCGGGTTTTAAGCGATCCACAGATCCCCCTTTTATAGTAAAAAAAGGTTGCATTTCCAAGAAGATGTATACCTCTTCTAAAAATCTAACGAGTGTTGCATTGTATTAAATTAAATTATTGAAAATAACCAATAAGATCAACACAATAATGACATGGATTTATGTGTATGTGTACAAAATTAAGTTTATTAATTTCAAATATTTGAATATGTATCCCTTTCAATTATTATTCATTTAAAATGCTATTTATTTTAATTAGGAAAAATACACTTGTGTTGCCAAAACTTTGACGGTTTGGCCAAATATAGCCAGTTTTAGCGAAATACCATAAATAGCCACTTCCGTCCAATTGTTTGACGGTGTTAGTTAGCGTGCTGACTGGACTAACGACAATGGATGATGTGGGAACATTTAAGCAAAACATTTCCAAGTGGATTTTCACTTTAAAATTAAAAAAACATTCTCCACTTTACTCTCTCTCTCTCTCTCTCTCGGCCGTTTCTTTCTCCATCTCCAGAACCTTCCTCACGTCGATCTCCTCAATCTTCCCTTGTCCTTTTTCCTCTTCATCATCTGCAACCTAATCCCAAGTGTTTCACTCCATCTCAATCTCCACCCATCTCTGAAACCATGCCTCCAACAATACAAATCTTCGCAACTCGGGCAAAACAATAGCTCTCGAGATAGAAAGTGATGGAAACTTGAAGATTTTGAATGACACCGATTACCAAATTGCTGCCGTGAACCCCCCGCCCAAGGAGTTACAAGTAAAACAAGTTCCATTTTACTAGATTCCAACAATTTTATTCTCCGGAAGCTGAATTTGGATGGGACAGTGAAGCGGGAGATGTGGCAGTGTGGCAGAGCTTCGATTATGCAATGGATACCCTTCTACTAGGGATGAAATTGGGAGCCGAAATCAGATTTTCTGAATTATTTGTCAACAATCAGTCGAGATCCTCAATCATCGAACGGGTCATCGTCTTCAAGAGAAGCGCTTGTAGATCTGAATCATCCAAGATTTGGAGACATCAATTCAGGGATTTGGGGTTTTCTCTTGGCACCAACACTCTGTAACAGTCGCCGTCGACCTTCAGCTCGTGCTCGAGTATACTCCCAAAGCCGAGGCCAAAGCAGCAGAGGAGATGAGATGGGAGAAGGAGATATAGAGAGACAGAGAGGGAATCGCTGCAGTGATTGAGGGGACAGCGGCAGTGGCGGATTTAGTGACAGAATAGTCAGGATCTGGACGAGGAAGGTTTGCCGGGGGCAGAAGTTGTGGGAAAGAGCTGGTTTTTGAAATGACATTCTGGGTTTCTCCATGGAGCTTTTGGAGGCTTATGGAATCAGAGAGAGGGTGAGAGAGACGCTTGGAGAGAGAGAGAGAGGACGGAGAAAATAATCAAAAGAATGAACATGATTTTTTATTTCAAATTTTTTTATTTTTATAATTCAAAATGACATGTCAATCATATGCTTACCTGTCGCTGATGTGTGTGATGATTTGGCATCCCAATCAGTTTAAAGTTAACGTAACTGACAGTGTCACTGACGCCGTTAAAATATGTAACGGAAATGGCTATATTTTTTATGAAAGTTTTAAAATTTTGGCTATATTTGATATTTTGCCAAAAGTGGCTATTATTGTCACAAACGTCAAAGTTTTGGCTACACGGATGAATTTTGCCTTTTAATTAATTGAATATGTTTGTTTTACTAAATTATGTACATATCTTGGAAAAAATCTTGATTTTGTTTATTTAAATTGTTTGTTATAATAGTTTTATAATGGTTTATTATTTCATAAACTTATGATGAAATTCAAAATTTTCGCTAGAATGCATACCATATAATCCGCTATAGGTGCTCGCATATAACGACGCCATCTTGCCCTTTCTCAAAAGGGCAAGGTTTGTGGTGATTAGACACCTTTTAGGGATAAAGATCGGCCGTTAACTAATCACCGCATTCATGGAGAGATGGTATAAGGAGACACATTGCCTTAACTTTCGCGAAGGAGGGTGCACCATAACACTAAAAGGACATCGCCATCCTAACCCATTTGCTCATCGACGACAATGTGTTGTGTGTGAGTGATCTTCCACCACCGGATGTTGCCAGGATGATCGGTTGGCAGCATTTTCTCTACAACGTTTTGGGGTTGCGAGTGCCATTCAAGGTTAGCGTTGATGCGCATGATCGCAACCCCACATTGAGGAAGAACCAAGTATCAATCACTTGGTTGACGAAGGCGATCAAGAACTTGCACGACCCTGAAAAAGGCGGGATCCCCATAACCGAGGAAAGTCCTGAGGCGGAGAAGGAAAGATATGCTCGTGTCTATCTCATAGGCATGATCGGAGGAATGTTCTTCCCCAAGAAATCCAATAATTTAATTAGCTGTGGGTGGCGGAAGATCCTCCTTGGTGATTGGGATGAGATGGGGAATTTGAGCTGGGCATCCGCTTGCCTAGCTCATATGTACCACCATTTGTGTAATGCATCTCTCAAATCTGTGAAGGTGGTTGGGGGGGGGGGGGGGGGGGGGGGGGGGGGGGGCGATGTTCATCGTCCAATTTTGGTCTTGGGAGCATCTGGCACACCGGTCAAATGTCCTGACAAGGAATGGGGTCATGATCATCCCCTAAGACTTGAAGCTTATGGTTGTAGGTAAACTACTCATACGAACTCATGCTTTCCATAACCCAATAGTTAGTTATTTAGTTATAACATTTTATTATTTTCCTTATTAATAAGGTGGATTGGAGCCTCAACATGCGACAACCTTTTTCGTGCACAAGTTGGCATAGTATCGGAGGAGTCTAGAGAGACTTTGGGAAGGAGAGGTAACTATAATAATCCGAACTTCTTCATTTGTTATTTTCGACATCTATTATAAAACTTCGTTTAACTTAAGTTGGTCAATCTTTTTGTAGATCATATACAATCCCTACCTCGAGAACATCGTTCACTAGCATTTGGAGCAATTCCTTAGGCATTCAGGTCAATTGTGCACGTGAGTTCCTCTCATTTGTCACCATATTATGGAGTGGCACATGTTGGATCGATGCTTGCGTCAATTTTGACGGGAGCAATGCATGCCTCTGAACCTCCCCGACAGCCAAAAGGCTTTTCACCACTGAGATCGTCGCCAAGGTGCTGCTGATTGGCATGAGAATTTGATGAAATTCATCCAGAAGTGGGACAGCTGACAAGATTTTGACATTGTCACTCCAACTGTTGTGGGGCGAATGGGGTATCATGACCCATTCAGTACCGAAAACAATTGGTTCGGTAGGTTACTCTGGAGGGTGCGGCTGATGGTACTCATGGTAGGAATGAGGATCATGGTAACCTTGGTAGAGATGATCTTCATATAATCCACCTCCACCATGGATACCAGATGTGTCGCTGTCTCTAGAATGACCTACACTGCCTCAGTGTAAACAAACATCTCTGCTTTGGAAACATTATTGGCGTTCAAAAATTCGACCATGGCATCTACTTCATCCTGAGTGGTTATGAGGAATTCCTCATGCCACAACGACCCGCGTTGTCTGTTTGGATATCGATACACCATACGATCAACTCTTCGCGTGCCCTCCATGCAAGTAACCTCAGTAGACATTTGATGGAGCTCTTCAAGCATCGGTCTCGTAGCGACCTTCATTTTATGAAAATTACCATCGACGTAACGTACCCCCTTTTCGGTCTCTTCCGTGTAACCATTCCACCGTAACCCAAGCGTGAACTTTTGGAAGAATGGTGATATTTTTGGAATGTGTGAGTTGGTTGCCATTTTTGTAATTTTTTTAAATAGTGTTATTTCTGGAAAAAATCCGAACTTCTCCACCCCTCCAATCCTCTTTCTCTTCATATATACCAACACATACTTCATCTTCAACAAATCCTCCAACAACATCTCCGACATTTGTCACAATTAATGTCTATATCATCGGCGATGTTACAGTCATTCTAATGCTTCCTCGACTCGAGATGTAG